GGTGCTGTGAGATTAAGCTCTGCACTGCTCTCTTAAACAGGTGTCACAGAGTCATGTACATTTTCTATAGGATTCCTTGACCGCCAAGAATTTCAGGGAATTTACAGATACATTTCAGTGAAGGAGAACTAATTGAGTTTTGGGGCCAAAGAAAGTAGGTTCTGTTTACAGCTCTGCTATTTAATCAGCTGTGCCTTGGGTGCATACCCAGATCCTTTCCTGGATGGCAGTAAAACAGCAACCACCCAGAATGTACTGTAGCTCTAACTCTATTAAATGGTTTGGTACTTAGTAGGCCCCCAAATTTTTTAGTTTAATCTTAATCTCTGTGATAATGTCTACATTACCAATGCAATATGTTGAGAAAAATTAGATAATTAAGTACATTTTGCAATGATGGAAAATGGTAGCACAAAGACAGTTAAGAATTATTGTGTGAATTTCATGAAATTAATCAATACTCTTAGTATTTTCTACCTTTGCTTAAACAAAGAGACAGCTATAATTTTCACTCATATTTACCTCTTTTTCACCAATTTTTTCCCTTACTCTCTTTTCCCATATTTCCCAATTTACTATCCTTTTCTTCCCACCCCCCTGCCAAAAAGTGGGGTGGAATTTTTTTTTCACTATGTGAATTTTAAGTGTCTAAATAGTTTCTAAAATTATTCTGGCTACTGGATTTTTTTCCCCCTCCAGCTAATTTGAATGTTGACTGTAGTGGATTCCACTTCTATTTAATCCAGGTCAGGATTTATAGAGACCTCATGTGGTGACAAGAGGCACCACATAAGGCTTTCTTCAGAGATGGCTGTAATAGTCAAAGGGAAACTCAGAACTCATTTGGGAGCATAATAATGGAGAAAGAATTAAGACCTAGAAGTTAAAATTATCGAAGCATACAAGGCCTCCAACAAACATCCTGCAGTAATACTGAAGGAATAATACAGTAACATTTTAAAAAATGAGAAACCTGGTCACTCATGTGTAAGTTCCTTTTATTAACTGAAAAGCTGATGACACAAAAACATTCATGCACCATACCTCTCAGGAATTTGTTACATTCTCTTTTTGATTAAATTCATTGGACATATCTTCTTATATAAATTTGCATCAACTAGTAAAGATGTTTCTATGGGCATATTACTGTGAATGTTACTTTCATCTCCTTGTTGGTTTTTTTTTTTTTTAATATACAGAGTGTAAAGTGATCCAGAGAGAGAATCAAACTTGAGCTCATATCTAAGTGTCTCACTTATGCAATAATATCAATAACATTTATGAATATTTGGAATGCAGGATCTGTTCTTGTGATTAAAATGCTGCAGAACATGATTCTATGTGGCTGATAAAGTTGAACACAAATACATCTCATTACCAATGAGATATTAAAGCTGTGAAATTAAATGAATTAGTGTATCAGTAAATGCATCTTAACCACATAATTTACTGGTACAGACTATAGAACATTCACTGGGGGGAAGATACTCAACGACAGGTACTTGTTCTGAATCTCCATTTCCTTGCAAGAAATGTGACTGTGGCTTCTCCTCTCTCACAAGGAAGTTACATAACAGACTTTAGGCTAAAATCTAGAAGGACAAGTAAGTTAATAAATGTTAAATGTTTTGAAGTCTTTAACAGAATGCAGCAATATAAATCAATGGCATTCAAACGAGCAATCATGAGTTCCAATTCAGTTTTTGAATGGGCACCCTGTCTTTGGAACCATGTTCAAAGAGACTGAGTTTTCCAGGGCCAGCAAATGATATAGGTAGAGGTAACTTTATGATATTTTGTAATATTTAAATAGAAAAAAAATAATGAGGATATTAGAGAGATTTCAGGTTGAATATGTTCTTGGGTTAAAGAATAGTTAATTATCAGTATACCTACTATGTGCTAGACATATTGCTATATGCTAAAAATCCCAAGTGAGTCGGCAGGTCTTTCAGCTTTCAAGGGAATAACAGATGATTATACAAATAATCACTATACTGTAAAGTTGCCATTTACCTGGAGGCATGCACAGATTTCTGTGAAAGCATTTCAAAGGTGGAATGAGAGTAAGAGAAAGAATGAGATGATACATTTTAAATTCAAGTGAAGGAGCTGACTCATTTAGAGGACATTTGAAACCTATGGTGACATTGTGTTTTTTTTTTTTTTTTTTTCCTGGGGAAGCTGGAGAGAGTTATCTGTTGCCAGACACACATCACACTAAAGAAGAAACAAGGGAATTCTCTTTCAAACAGTTTGGAAAAAAATATCTAGAACTCCCCTGAAATAAAAGAAACCTTCTGGTACAATCTATGTTGCTAAGGATTTATTTTTTACCCTCCTTTGCCTCCTAAGAGAGTAAAATCATACAGGCACATTCAAGCCCTTGGAGTTTGGGGAGCGTTTTATGTATTCAAGATGTCAATTGAACCTCCTGTTGTTGTGTGTGACTATAAAGAAAGGGTTAAATGGAAGGGGGTGGCTTGGAAATGGGAATGTAAAGAAGAGGGTTGCAAAACATCGTTTTCCAACTTGCAAAAACTGAACTTTTAAGCTCCCAAAAATACACATGTGTGTGTCTGTGAGCGCAGGCAGATCTATTTCGGTAGGATTTAATTTTTTTAAAAAAAATTTAAATCTCAATCTCTGTCTTTCCTTTGCTGTGTTGCAAGCACTGAGCAGCCCCCCCCCCCTCCCTTAGGATCGCGTGGCAAAAGCTGCAGCAGAGGCACTGGCAACGCTGTTTATTTATGAGCCGCGTTCAAAACCGCCTCTCCCCATTCTCCTGCTGAGAACCACTATCTCCAAACCCAGGTCATCTCTGGGGCCAAAGAGTTGGAGGCGGGGGCCCTGGAGCCTCCTTCCCACCGCAAACTTTGCCGAAGCGTGGGAGCTAGGGCGCGAGCCAGGACGCACGGGAACGCGCCCGCCCGCCGCCGCCGCCTCCGCCTGGCGCTGGCAGCCGGGGCCTCACCTCTCCCCTGCGAGGTGCGGGCTCCCCGCGCGCAGCCAGTGGGCGGGGCCGGACCTCGCGGGGCGGGGCCCAAGGGGTGGGGGCTCAGGCGGCTATATAAGGCCCGCGCCAGCCTAACTTCGGACTTGAGGTTATTTATTTGGGAAGCGCCTGGACGGCGGAGGTTGGTGGTGGCTGTGGCTGCGGCAGAAGGTGGTTAAAAAAAGGAGGAGGCGGCGGCAGCGAGTGATGGGAGCGCCGAGGCTCCCAGGCGCAGGCCAGAGCTGCGGAGCTTTCCAGGCACCGCGGGAGTGCTGAAGAGAAAGGGGAGCGTCCGGGGACCGGCAGCCGGCTCCTGAGGCGCGGGCTGGGTTTTTGTTCAGCGGCGCTCAGCGCCTGGCAGCAGGAGCGAACTACTCGTAACAACAACAACAACCCACCTTTCAGCAGCTCAGCGAGACTTAGGCTGCTGCGTCTGTCCTATTGTTTAGACACTTGCCAGGGGCTCCAGAGCGGCAGACCCCGCTCTCTGTCGCCGCCTTTCCTCTCCCTCACCTCTCTCCAGGGAGCGGGAGGCAGAGAAAGCAGCCGGGAGAGGGCAGGAGGCAGGAAGGAAGGACTGCCCTGGACTGTAGCCGCCGAGTCAGGTGCCGCATCTGGAGCCGGGTGGTGTCTCCAACGTCGGCGAGAGGACTGCTACTGTGGAGGTGGGAGACGGTATCCCAAACCTGGGAAAAGTTCCTGCACTTTGAGAAGGAGAACCCACTTGTGGGAGGCTGCCAAGGGGCAAGAGAGAAGCTGCGCCCGCTTGGAGCTGGCTGTTGTTTCTTCCACCTTTGCCATCAGGTGTCTGCCACGGAGCTGCAGCGTATCCGGGAGACGAGAGGGGCTGACACGCGCGCGCACACACATTGCCATTCAGCTATCGCCTGGGCTCTACCTGGAGTAGCGGATCCCACCCTCCCGCTGGCCACCTAGCTGTCCTCCAGACAAACTAGCAGGGCCCGGGTCGTGAACACCTTGGCCTTTGCCTTTCCCCTCCTTCCGGCCTGCCTTCTTGCAAGTCCTGCGCTAGTCAGTGCCTGTTTCGCCTTCTCTGGAGCTCTAGTGCTAAACTTGGCTTCTTGGATTTCCTTTGCTGAGATTTTGACTAGTGGATATTCCTGTCCCGCTGCAGCGGTCCTACTGCCCTTTTGTCTTTCTGTGTGACCTCAGGGCAGGCCCTGGTGCAGAGCGTCGCCAAGGACGCCGGGCGGGAGGCGGGATTGCCGAGGAGACATCCTTCAGCGAAGTACATGTGTGTTTGCAAACCATCCTTGGCTGTCGGGAGATTGCGAGGACCGGTAGGGGCTACCGCTGAGCAGCAGGCTGGGGAGAGGCCGCGGGAGTGAACCGAGCCCTGCACCCTGCAGCGCCGCCCCCAGTCCCCTGGGCTGCACAAACGCCCGGTGCGCCCCCGCGCGCCATGCCCAGTTGCTCGGCGCGCTCCGCTCCGGGCCCGAAGGGCTTCTGCGCCTTCTAGCTTCAAGGAGTCCACTTTGATCAAGACCACCATTACTACTGAGCGCCCCTCTTCCTCCTCGCACTTCTCCCAGCCCCACTGGAATCGAAATTGTAGAGCAGTGTGTGGGATCTGAGTATCATCTCACTCTACCCCCTGGCAGCCGTCCTTTGCATCTTCACAGTCCTAGGAAGTCTCAGCTCTTTTACCGCCAAGTGGTTTCTTCAGCGACAGAAAACGTGTGATTTCCTCCCCCACTGCTCTTGGGGTCTCCTTGCAGCCTTGGCCAGGCCATTGATCTTCAGGTTCGAAAGTTGCCCACGGAGTTCCTGCCCTGCTACAAAAGGGTGTAGAGGGAAGGGGAAGGCGTGAGCCTGTTCTGGCTCTCCTGCCTTGAATATTAATTATTACTGTTCCATATTATTTTGTGCACATTTCCCCGGGCACTCTGGGTTGCTAATCCCGCGCCAAGCACTGGGCCTCAGACACTGCACCGTTCCGTCGGAGCAGCGAGCTAAAGAGAAATCCCCAACGCCGGCAAGCCAGGAGGCGGCGGGGGAAGATGCGCGGCACTGGCTGGCAGACGCTGTCCCTGTCGCTGGGGTTAGTGTTGGCGGTCCTGAACAAGGTGGCGCCGCAGGCGTGCCCGGCGCAGTGCTCCTGCTCGGGCAGCACTGTGGACTGTCACGGGTTGGCACTGCGCAGTGTGCCCAGGAATATACCCCGCAACACAGAGAGACTGTGAGTATGGGTTCTTCGCCCTCCCCTTCTCCCCATCGCGGTAGCGCACGCTTTGCTGGGAACCTGAAGTGACCCAGCAATACAGGGACCTGGGACTTGTGCCTGGTGAAGCCTCACTGGCTCTCCAGATCGCTCATCCTGGGTTGGGCCCGCCTGGAGGGCCAAGTACTGGAAGGCACAGCCCAGGAAAGGGTCACTGCCCAGGGAGGGGCGGGTCCGCTGGCAGCTGCGTTTGGTCCCTTTTCCCTGCTCTTGTCCCGCCACTGCCACTAGCAGCCTCTTGTGGACGAGTTGTTCGGGACTGGGCAGATGGGAGCTAGGGAACAAGGATGAGAAGATGCCCCAGGCTAGGAGACACGACTTTGTTTTCAGATTCCTTATAAAGAGTCACCTTGCTGTTGCAAACATTCTTAGGTCTGTTTTAGGATGAGTCCCCGCCCTTGTCCCCCCCCCCCCCCGTTAGCGTGGAGGAGATGGCAGGGGATTCAAAGAGAGAAACTTAGGCTCCCTGTCTTTGTGTTCCCCTCCCAGGAAAGAAGGGAGGGGAGAAAGAGTCATGGGGTGTCCTGGGATATTACTATCAGGCAGGAAGGGTGCCCCAGTAGGGCCACAGCTGGCTTAGTGGCGGTGCGCAGCCCCCTGCTACTCCCCCCCACCCCGCCCCTGCCCTCTACTTCTGCCCAGAGGATGCGGAGGTAGCGGGCCCCAAGGGACTCTCCGAAGCTGGACTCTTCCAAGCTGGCGACTGCAGCGGAGACCGGCGTCCCAAGGTTTAAGTGAAGTTAGTGTACTGGTTCTCCAAACCTGAACCAGCGCAGATAGATCAGACTGCTTAGGCGACCCGGCGGGCCTCGGCCGCCCCCTGCGGCTCTTCCTGCTGAGCCCCTGTCCCCCTGTCCACCTTTCTGGCAGTTTCTGCGTCCCTTCACGTGGCAGCAGCTCCTCTTTCTGCCCCTCTTCGCGCTCCGGTGCCCACAGACATCCCCGCCTCCCTGCCTCTGCTGGTCTCTAATGAAGAAGTAAACGCAGTCCTGGCTTTGACGGCCCACGCGCTCCTGGTGGGGCGCTTCCCGAGTTCAGGGAAGCGGAGCATGGAGGCCATTCTCTTTGTGAATGCGGAGCCGCCGCCCCAGTCGCCCGAGCGCCCTAGGCGCGCTAGTGTTCTCACGATGGCGCGTGGGCCGGGCGGGTGAGGGCGATGGGGACCAGTGCGCTGGGACTCCGCTCCCGTGGCCTCCTTCCCTCTGGGTCTGAGGGCCATGAACTGCGGAGAGGACGCCCTCAGATTCGCACTTCTGCGCCAGTGCAGTCTGCAGCGCCTTGAGTCGCCCTTCTTATCTAATCCATCTCTCTGGCCTCTGCTTTAAAGGCCAAGTTGAGCCCTTTCTTCTTTTGGAAAGGCTCATCTGTCCCCCAGCCTCACTGGGTTGCCCCCTACTCTTTTTCTTCATTCACCCCAAACCCTTAGTGCTGCGCAAGTTGGGCCTTACCAGGGTTGCCTCATCAAGATGTGATCCCCGACATTTGCCTCGGGTGGGAGGTAGGGATTCCGTGTTATATTGAATACCCAATAAACGACCCCGATGATTTTCTGAACAACTTAATGAGACTTTGCTCAGCGTATAGAAATAGGCAAAAAAGGAAGGAAAGTAATGCAGAATTCTGTTTTTGTACTTGTCATTTCATGCTGTTCCAATTAGTTTATAGTGTAAGCACTAACGTGTCTTCTTACTCAACCAAAAGGGCATTACTCGGGGGAAAAATGACAATTGGGTTTTGGATCCTTGGGAAAATAAAAAATCCCTGTAAGGGGATTTTTAAAGAGGTTTCAGAAAATAGTATAGTCAGTGTTGTCTTATAAAATTCTATCATTGACAAAGTAAAAACTTAAAATACATATTTCAAACATGAAGTTTTTAGGACTAAAGTAAGAGAGAATTTAGGACCTTGCAGGAGAACATTCGAATCTCAGCAAAAGCTGGTTTTACCTGAAATGATTGGAGGCAGGGCAAGTTTAGATCTTGACCTGAGATGCCAGAAAAGAAAAAGAGGGGGTTGTGACTCTTGAAGGAAAAGTGGTGCTGAAATCTGAACAAAAATGTTAGGGCCTGAATACCACTTCCATTATTGCCCCCGCTAGTAGTTTTCGCTTTATAATCACAGCGGGGTTCCCTGAGCTGCAAATGAAGAGTTTAGTTTTCATACAAACATAGAATTGTTGGAAAGTAAATGCAGGTCTTTGAAGTGCATTTCTTTTGATGGCCCTCTAACTTTCTTCTTTACCTTAGGAAGTTTAGCCACCATGCTCCCATAAGGATAGTGTTCTTTCTAGCTTTTAAAACTTTGTTCTTGAATAGTATGAGAAAATAATTTCTTTAACTTTCTGAGGGGAACTCCAGTAATAGGAAAATAACAGAATACCTGTGAATTTGATACACAGATCCTTATAAAAGCAAAAATCAAAAGCACACCATACACACACACACACACACACACACCAAAAGAACAATTTTCATGATAATACAATTACTTCATTTTCTTGTCATCATGGGCCAGCCAGGATGAACTTTGTAAACTTGAGCATTTATGCAATATTATTTCAAAGGTTGTGGTTGTCCCCTTCTCTCTCCCATTTGTTTTCTAAACCATACACTAATTAATTTAATTTTTAGGCTTAAAAGTTCAAACCTACTTTAAATTTAACTTTGCTTAACTAAGTTAATAGAAATAAAATGGAGCTTTCATTTTCTGGTTGTCTCTTAGGGATTTGAATGGAAATAACATCACACGGATTACGAAGACAGATTTTGTGGGCCTTAGACACTTAAGAGTTCTGTAAGTTTTCTTCTGTAATATGGGGAATTGTATTGTATTGAAGATTGCACTTTGAGAATTGCTAATAGTATCAGTTTTTCAAACCTTTCCAATGACAGAAATTTTAAAAATGTAAAGGCCTTGGTTTCTTTATTTATTTTACTAAAAGCACAACTTTTAGTAAAAATTTGGGCTTTTATTTTAAGTTTGAACACATGCCATAGAAACAATGTTATAGAAATGACCTTAAGACTGTTTTATCATACCCTAAGTGCCTTATGCATATAAACTTGTAGAATAGTTGCTTTCATAGTGTGAATAAATAATGTGGGACATCTGATATTTTAGTGTTTGAGATTAACTTGAAAAACTCAGGTAGATCTGTGTTTAAATATTATTGAGCTAAAAAATATTTAGACTTTTTTTTCTAAGAAAAAGTAATTTCTAACATTAAAATCAAGCCATCCATCTTTTTAACAGAGCTTAGGTAGAAAAATGTTTATCTATAAAAAAGCATCATTAGTTATATTTTCAGTTAATTTCCTTACCTTTAATATCTTTGTAGATTACATAAAATAGTTGCACTCTGATTACTTCTTTACTTAGTGGGTTAATTTAGCTGTGAATAAACCATTACTCAAAGTCAATGCTACATAAACTTGTTTTCTCCCACAAGATTGTATATATTTATGTCTTAAAGGTCATATGCTTTTGACCTCTATATACCCAGTGTTCAATTTTTAAAACATATTTTAGCCCTTATGAAATATTTTGGTTGCTGATGGGTATCCATAAGTCATAAGTGAATATGTGTATGATGAATTACTGTAGTTAAGAACACAGTTGAAAATCAGTGTACCAAAAACAGCTATCAAAGCTGCAATTTCACTGCTCTTTTGTTATGTTTAAGGTTTAGAGTTTGAATAGTAAATTTAGTGAGAAACTGCTTTAATGTTTCTGTAAAAGTTTTGTGATGTAGATGCTTTTTCTTCTCCATGAGTTCTTTCACATATATCACCATTAAATTTGCTCCTAGTTCTCAAAGCAGAGCAAAATCTAACTTTAAAGAGAGAAAGAGGTTATAAATGTTCAGTTACTGAATTGAAATTGACTTAGATGGTAACATTAAGAAGCATGTTACATTTTTTTTTTTCATTTCAGTCAGCTTATGGAGAACAAGATTACCACCATTGAAAGGGGAGCATTCCAGGATCTTAAAGAACTAGAGAGACTGTAAGTATTTTCAATTCCAAACTCATGACAACATGACTGTATTTTTACAAACACTTGAATTTCAAGGCTTATGTCTTCGATCTCATGTTTTAGCTTTAAAAAGCTTGCAAAAAAAGGGGGGGGAGATGAGTAAGTGGTTTTCAGACAAATTTACAACAAGTAGAGTTTCTGGATATAGGATATTAATTTGTAATAAAGCACAAATTTACTTTTCTGAGATGTTTATATACTTGGTAACCATTGCTTTGGTACTGAAAGATGTACATACATGTTTTTCTTATTTGTTCATCTGATTTGTTTGCTTGCCTATGCAGGAAGAGAGGTGGACCTTTTGTTCCGATTAATAGTACATATGGAAGGGATGTTTTTCTAATAGTAATTTTAATTTCTATGATGTTACTTGGTGTGTCATTAGTGATATATTTTTTTCTGATGATGATTTAACTTTTTATCATTAGAGTGAACATTATTAATAATTGTTATTCACAGCTTTATTTTGTTATGCTATAGTAGCTTTTCAAATATTCCTTTTGGGAAATAAGAAAGATTACCAAAGTAAGATCTGTTATCAATGTGTAGTCATTTAACATTGACCTTTGTTTTTCCAAAATTAAATGTAACCTTCAAATTAAAATCTATTTTTTAGACACAAATTCTTAATGGATTTATATTTATTACTTGAGGATTTTTTAGATTCACAGTATATATTTACATCAGACAAAACCTCTATCTGAAATAGAAAAAAAATTACAGACTTTGTAGTTTGAAATGTGATTTCATGTCTCATAGATCTTGATTATTCCACTTTAGTAGGTTTGTATTCTTAGGACAAGTAACAGATTTACTAAAAGTAGTAACAATTATTTAACAGTTTTCACATCTGATTTAATAGTCACTTTATATACAAATAACACTCTTATTTCAAATAACAAAATATATTCACTTTAAGCAGAACACACAGTCGTATTCACTAGGCCCAAAGGCAGAAGTTAATTCTGTGTAATTGTCCCTAAGTTGAAAAATGACTCATCATCTTCTGAGATATTTATAAATGCATAGATTTCATTTTTATGACTTTAAGTAAAACACAGAAATATGTACTATATTTATTATAAAACTTGGCCATGATAAATATTGAAATATGGGGAATATAATTGTAGAGTTCAAAATAAATTTAAAACACTACTTTGAGCTAGTTTTGGGGGAAAGTAAAAACAAGATAAATATTTGGTTGAATTCATAGTAAAGTTCATAAATTCATAACCTATGTCTAAATACATAAAATTATTCTGAAATTATTTATTATTTGATGTTCTTCAGAAGCATTCATAGGCTTTGTGACTAACTCACAAATTTATCTTTAATCCATCTATTTTTAAAATATTGATATAATCATTTAAATGAATAGAAAATTTCATAATTTTACATATATATAATATATAATGTATATATATATATATATATATATATTATATATATATACAGTTTTGCAAGAATAACTTCTAGCAGTCACAAAGAAGTATCTATATCTTGGTTTTTAAACAATTTTTGAATCATAGAAGGAGTCTTAATGGTTTTTCCTGCAGCCTCTACTTTGGTTATATTGTGTAAATATTTTAAGAAAGACTAGAAGAAAACACACTTTCTGGTTATTTTTCAAGCCACTTCCAAATATCATTTGAACTTTCATCTTGACTAAATTAACTTTTCCTAAAAATTATTAACCAGATGCTATATGATCTGAAATTTGATTAGAGTTGTAAGTGGTACTATTTTTTGACTTTGCCTTCCTCTGGGAATGTCACTTCATCTCAGAACAATTTTCTGTTCTACTAAGACTAAGTCAGATGTTTCAGAGTGGGAGGAGAATTTGTAATTTTGAATGAAAACTAATATATATGCAGGACTTCTTTAAATCACCCCAGCTGTTGGCTGAGAGCAAATATTTCATATTTGTGAGGAAAAGCTGAGAAAAATTCCTTTTGTTTACAACTGCCAAGTCCATCTGATGGAAGCACATTGTTATCTGACAGCCAATTCATCTCCTTGGGACTCTGGAATTCAAAACCATTTCTTAGGAACATTGTGGATACACTTTTCAAATATTTATTTTTTAAATACATTAAATGGCAAGCAGTTTTACTAAGGAATGCATTCAAGTTATTGTGAAACAAAAAAATTTTTAATTTTGTTCAGCATATTGTTTTAAAAATAAAAACGTAAAACAACAACAAAAAAAATCTATCTTGTGAGTATCATTCTCAGATTATTATGGCCTCTAGTATATACCCTTTTTTAATCGGGGTCATTTAACATCACAAAATTGCTTGCTTTTTCAAAGAATAGCAAGGGACAATGTGAAAGACAGGCAGTAATCAATGAATTAACTTTAGCTATGAATTGTGTAAACTTAAATGATTTTTAATAATTTAGATGTGAGATTTTATACTCTCAATTATGAAAAGATGTAAAAGTGCAGGCATATCTTGTAAATACCATCCATACAGTGAACAGTGATTTAATTTTCTTTCCTTGTATGAAGATCAAAAAAATAAATAAAAAATGTTTATTTTACTTGTGTGTAATGTATGGTTCTAAATTATTTTCATTTTAAAGTGATAAAATAATTGTAAATGATTTTTGTGAAAATTTCAAAGTTATATTTATCTCTTATTTTATTTTGATGTCGTTTACACTTGATCTAGAGGGGAAAAAAAGATCTGAAAGCAGAAGATAAGATCTATGCCTTTTTATAAATCCAACTTTTAATCTGTAAGAAGCAGGATCCTGTTGTTAAGTTGAATTTAATGTTAGCATGGAATAAGAAAGCCATTATTTGTAAATCAAAGCAGTATAGCTACAAAAGAAAGATATTTTTTCTACTTCAAAGAATGGATGCAATTCTAAAATCTCAAAGCCAAATGTCAAGAAGTACATGGATGTTGAAATCCTTCCTTCCTCTTGTCTCCTTCCTCATCCCTTTCTTCCTGTCTCTCCCTCCTTCATGTCTTTCTTCCCCTCATTGTTTTCTCCCTTCCCCCTTTCCTTTGGTTTATTTTCCCCCACCTTCTCCTCTTTTTTCCTTTTCACTCCCTTCTTTGTGTTGTTTAGAAACGACATCAGATGATGTGGTCATCATCAGAATGTGGTTATGAATCACTGTAAAGGGACTAAGTTAATTGCACCTACACACCATGAGCACACATGACTTCCTGTTTTGTCACTCTGCCACCACACTCCCAGACCTACCACGTGCAGTGGCAGATTTTCTAAGAGGCTTTGTATTGCCAGCAGTCTCAGTTTTTCTGGGAAAAAAAAATGAAACCTTGAGTACTTTAAACCTTTTTATATTGTATTAGCTGATCTCCTGTCGTTTAATCAGAAAGTTCTATAGAAATCTAATGTAGTTAAATGACTAGCTAATTCAGTACAAATCAATTAAGAGGGGAAAAAAAAAATACCAGTTAACTACAGTAACAATTCAGAACACATAAGAAGTATGCTTCTTTCATGTACTTCCTAGAAGATACCTTTATATATCCACAATAAATTCTCCAGACAAAATTACTAATACAAGATATTTCTCAGCTGGTACATAATTCTCTAGATGGTATTTTTTTTTTTTTAAAGTAACATTGGGACCCAGAAGTTCTGTGGGCTGGTATAAAATTCTGTGGCTTACATAAATTTACAATTCATGTACCATTGTGATAATGCTTTGTAGCCATTGAGCTATATTTTACGGCCTTTTTTGACAAGCTAGAATACTTCAGGGTTCCACTATTGAAAACCATCTTCCTCTTTTGAAAATTCCTTCATAACACAAATGCAAGAGTATAAGAAAGTTTAAGGCTGTCATTTCAAAGACATTTTGGTAGTAACTTCAGGACTGCAAAAATGAAACTTAGATATGTTTATCTAGCTTATATTAAGAGACCAAGAGCATACCATGGAAAATCTTGGATATTAGGCTTTTCCTGGACATTACAATCACCTTATAATCTTCAATAAGGAAATTGTTGAAGTGATAAAGGCAAGTACACAGACTGTGCCGTATTCTCCCATTAACAATGTGCTTTTCGCACAAATATTCTTTAAATCTTTCCAGTTTTAGTCTCTTTCTATCTAAAATGACATTTTCTTTCCTTAAAATTTTCTCTGGCTATTCATTTTTTTTTTCTGGATAAATTTGTCCTTAAAATATTGAAAATGTAGCCATATGTTGAATCCTGAAACATAAGCCTGTTAAGTATTTTAAAGTTCCGGCAGAGTAAATACAAAACAAAAATAACAAAATTTCCAACAAGTTGATGCAAATCCAATATATTCATTTAATTTAGAGAAATCTTAGTCTCTTCCCAAAGAGCCTATCTTTGAATAAATACTGTATTTTTATCAAAGAATATCCAAGGGGCACATTTCTTTTCTTTTCCCAGGGTGGTGCTGAATTAGTCCTCTTTTCATGAACACACCATTCATAAGCAAGTGACAGTGTGAGGTTGAGAGCCCTGGCACTCTACAGCCTTTGTTGTGGGTTGCTACACATGAATTCAAGTGGAGAATATGTGGTGGAACAGGTCTGAAGGAAAGCACAGTTTATCCTGTTCATCAAGGATGTCAAGAACCCCTCTTCTGACTCATCCTACAAGTTTGTAGGCAACACATAATATATATCTTTTCTTATTGTAAGGACAAACAAACCATGCTCTCTCCTTGGACAGGAATGTGAGCTCATTTCAAGAATTGTTCTCTGGTATCTTTGCACCTAGGTTGAAAGGCACTGTGGTTGCTTTCTTAGAAATTCTCTTTGAAGAAATATATCAATTTAACAGAGGTTGAGTGTGCACGTTACATAAGGTAAAAATACTCTAAAATAAATACACATGGACTATTTTAAATTGTTTTTCCTGACTCTGGCCATAGAAAGCTTTAATGCAAATGAGCTGTTGCAAGTTTAGCAGAATATTCAATCCGAGAGGATTTCTTGTGCAACCTGTTTT